AACCAAGGAAAGATTCCCCTAGTTATAAATTGTATCTGGGAGAAAATTTTGAGCAGAAATCACTTGGACATTATTCTTTATGTAACTGATAACTGAAAGAAGCATCTTGATTTGCATAAAATAAGCATCTGGATTGAAAACCATTTCCTTCTGCCTTTTACTGGAAAGATAAACTAGCAAACTCCTCTAGTGGGAAAAACATTTTCCCACTTCCTATCTTCTTGGTTTGGAATGTGTTGTGTACATCTATAGAACCAGAAAAATGCCAAAAGAACTCTCTAAATTTGAACTTTGTTCTCTAAAGTGTTTTATGGATCAAATACTTTCCATTGACTTACTTTTACAAAATTCCAATGAAAAGTGGATTTTTTTTTGGTTGGTTTGTTTTCAGAGTACTCATTGCCGCTCTGCCCTTTCTGCAGCGTTGAGAACCTAAATGTAAAACTATCTATGAACCTTGGTGAAGGAAACAGCACTGATTTTAATTCATCTGTGTGAGAAAAATTCTTAGAGAGTGAGAAGAGTGAAACACAAGTCATTACTTCAGCCTTGTCCAAGCTAATAGGGCTTTGATTGCATCTCATATTGCAGTGGCATTTATACCCACAAGTTACCTGTGAGATGTACATCCTTCATTCCACATTCAGTTGGTAATGGTGGAAACATAGGACAAGATGAAAGGAAAGAACCTGGCCCTTATTTCCTCCTCCAGGCAATGTTGCAAGTCACTTGACAAACAAACAGTGGAGAAATGCTTGCTTAGGAAGCGATCTGCGACATGCAGTCCTCTTCGTTTACCTCCTCCTTTCTTCCCAGAATAATTAGTGAGGTTGTGTGTAGTCTCTTGGTAATTTCCCAGTTGTGTTGTAAGGTTTTTTTCTTGTCAGTACCCACTTATCAAGCTTAAACTCTAATTATACTTATCAGTGCTGAAAATTGGCTATTATCACTACTTAAACGCCTGCTAATTCTAAGAAATACTTTCGTAGCAACCTGTTAGATAATTTTACTTACCATCTAGATGTAATAAGCTCCACTTGATTTCTTTTTTTTGCATTGCAACATTCTTTTTTATTTTTTTTTTTTTAATTTTATTCTGCGTGGCTGTTGCAGGAGTGAGTAAGGTGGTGACTGTGGACATTAAAGGGAACTGGCAACGCTGGTTGAAGGTCCGAGATCTCACCAAAGGCATGACCTATTTATTCAGAGTGCAAGCCCGAACCATTGCCTATGGACCTGAACTGCAAGCCAACGTCACAGCTGGGCCAGCAGAAGGTAAGTGGAGCCATAAAACCGTGTCACAAGCCAGATCAGTTATACAAACATGGTCCAACAGCAGGGAATAGTGCACTCAGGCCTTAACATGAATTTCCAAGCCAAGGAGAAGTTGAGTCACAGGAGCTCAGGACATGATTCAGTGGGTTTTGCAACTGCCTATGAAAAACATGTTTCCTTTTTTCCTGAAATCTAGAAGTTTGTTGTAATAAACAAACCAGTGTGAATAAATCATAACAGAAATGGGCTAGCTAGGGATTTCAAAGCCGCAGCCTGACAGCGTGGTGCATAATTCTGACTGTACTGCTCTGCGGTGGAGTCAGAATTGGGATAACTCTGCCGAAACCAGCAGAGGTTTCTGAATGTAAAACCAGAAAGAACTTACAATTACTCTCTCCTGATGCTTTGGCTTATGCAGAGGTCTGCAAATTTCCCAATATGTCAAGAGGAGCAACAGCCTGACCATCAGCATTCCCCGCTTGGTTCAATGTCCGTACTAAAAGAGTTGGGTTTTGTATTCGATCGATGATTGTGATAAACAGATAATGTAACAAGGTAAATGCCCTCCGATGATACCAGCCAGTAAATCACAGAGCATCATTGCAATGGTCACAGTTCTGATTTTTGCTTCTTTTCCAGTTCAGGGAATTATTTGCTCCCTCCATCAGAGCCACATGTGCCACATGTGGCAGTTCCACCCTTCTGGGTGCTGGCGAGCTTTCATTTTATCACAGTGCCCTCCATAGCCATCGTCTGGGACAGCAGCGCTGTGGATCCACTGGCCCACCACAGACAGTCTAACGCAGGAATCCTAATGGGGCTGTGGCATCTTCCCAAGTGAAAGGGCAGGCGGCTGTCCCCACGAACCTCTCCTTGAAACTCAGAGGCTGGTTTCACCTCTGAAGTCAGAAACAGAGGTGGCAGCATGCAAGCACTGCAGATAAGCTAATGGTCAAAGTGAGAGTGTCTTTTTCTTTCTTAACACAGGTACCCATAAAACCCAGCCATTGGTACGTAACTGCTGGTACTGGAGCTGGTGAAAAATCGGTAGCCCGTCGAGCTGGTTTATGTTGCATATATGTTGACTAATGTTTCTAGATATTTTTTCCCCTATATCAGTAGAAGAAATAAATACTGCAGTCTGTGTGTTATACCACCACCACTTGCTATTCTCGTTTCATCCTTCAGGGTCTCCTGGCTCTCCTCAGGAAATTCTGGTGACAAAATCTGCCTCTGGGCTGACACTACAATGGACTGAGGGAGATTCAGGAGAAAAACCCACAACTGGGTACATTATAGAGGCACGACCCTCAGGTAAGCCATGGGAAACACAAAGAGCTTGGTGTCATGAGTTCGCTTCCTTCAGTCCATGCTGAAACCCAGCCTGCGGTGGAGAGTTTGTTTGTCATCCCAGTAATGTAATGGGATTTTGTGAGAGAACGTTGTCACCAGCCGGTATTAAACCATTGCTGATTTATTATGCGATTTAGAAGATTTTTCTCCTGTTTAGGAGTAGTCACAGAAAATTACACTGAGTGCTGTGATTTTCACTCTACTACTACACTGGTAAATCACCCAACTGATGAGCTAATATAGTTAATAATTAAAACTCACTTAAACGATTACAGTATCTTTCATGTGCAAGGACCAGTTAAGTACTTTCAAACTGTGTTTTGAGGTCCACAGATAGAAATCTCTCCTCTTCTGCAGCAGACTACACCAGCTAATTACTGTTTTACTGTTAATAACAGGGCCAGAACTTTAGCACCACGTACACATTGCTTTCTCCGTTTGTTCTGCAGGGAGGGCACTGGGGAGGGAAAGGAATCCCCTCATCGCAATTTTTCTTGGTGCTTTCTCAGAGCTCCTGCGCTTCTGGGATTTGCATCTTACTGTAGCTGCTCTCTGCTTTTTCCAGCGTAATTCCCCAGTTGGACAAGGTCACTTTATGTGGAGGCATATGGTCAAGCCTGTTCGCAGCCTCTCCCAGCTTGGTAGCTCTTGCAAATTCAATAAGTGCACATTTTCTGGTAACCAAGTTATTAAGACAAACCAGTGAATTCTGCCAGACCTCTGTGTGTTCTCACTTGATAATTTCCCTCCACTGTGACAGTGAATGTTGATAACTGTTCGCCGAGTACAGTTTTCCAGCTGGTGATGCATCTACCGGATACTTGTTTCATGCCGGCCGTGTTTGAATGTCATGATGTCAAAAGCTTTGCTGAAGTCAGGATAGATGATGTCTGCTCTTTCTCCTCTATTGACAAGGTCTGCTGCCCTGTCACAGAAGGAAATTAGACATGATTTATACTTGACATATCCATGTTGGCTGCATGTTCCTTCCTTTTTTGCTTCTAGATGCTTGCATATTGCTTAGTTATATATTGATTAAATGAATGTTTATCTGTTTGCTTATATAAAGGATCCAAACTGTTTCTTTTATGTGTCTGGAATGTAAGCTTGCATTTAAAACAAATGGTTTTAATTATGTTTAACCAGACCAGCAACAAAATTATTGCCTGTGCTTCTGTGGTCCTCACTGAAGATGCAGATTTCCATAGTTGCTTGTGCTAGAATTTTCTCCGTAACAAGGCTCTGCTGTAATCCTAAAATGTCTTCCTTATTTCTGTCATTTAATTTGACAATTATTTTCCAAACAAAGTCAAGGAAAATGTGTACCTTCTCAAAGCACTGGAGTTTCCCAGAGCGGTCAAGACTTTTTTAATTGGAGGCATGACACCACTGTGCTTCTGTTTCTCTTACGTCAGCTTATTGATTTCTGCTCTTATTTCTTCATAAGTAGAAAATACTCGGTCTTATTTGAACAGCATTGTTTAGATAGCAAGTTAAACCAAACCTGTTCATTGACGTTCACTTAGCAGCTTACATTTCCCTGAACAGTTTTTTTTTTGAGTAAGAGTATTGTAGAGGGAAACTTGCAGCCCATGCACACATTGTCTGCAAGCTGGAAATTCAACTTGTGCGAGTGGTGACATTGCAAACTCATCCCATGTCCCTGGGCTTGTCTCACCGTTGGATGTGAATGAATGTTTTACAGTTCATGGCTAAGGATGTAGGATTTGTGGCTCACTCTTTTTGAGTAGGAAGAAAATAGTCCCTCCAAGGCAGGTCTGAGCTGCATTAACCCTGGGTCACTCCTGCTGGCCCCACTCCACTGATCCTGGAAACACACAGAAGAGGTCTTATTCTCCTGCTCTTGCAACCTGACTGTTGAGGCATTTAATTCCTCTTCAGATTATTTTAATCCTATTCATGCTGCTCTGGCAAATGAACTAGGCATTTGTATGCTGGATTCTCATCCTTCGTTCTGGTTGCAGCCATAGGAAGCGTGAAATGTGATCCAGGAGAGGAGACAGACTAATTGGAACGTTTGCTTATTTCACCCAAGCGCCGGCTTCCTTTCTGTGCTGCTTTTCTTCCTCATCTCTGCACGGAGGAGTTTAAAATCTGAATTATGAGCTTAACAAAAGCAGGGAACTAATTCCTCCTGTCAGGGCTGGTCATTCAGAGCAGCTTCTGTTTTAATATAATTCTAAGAATTTGCTCTGCACGTTGATTTATGTGGGTAGTAGAGCATGGATTGGAGCAACCTTTGTTTTTTAGTTGTTGTTGTCCAAGAGAAGAGCAGTTGACTTGTGCCCTTCACATAAAATCAAGGAAGGAAAAGATATTCATCCTTCTGAGATCAAAAAGGGGCATCGAACAGACAGATGAAAAGCTTTAGCTTGTTGCCAATATTTAAATGCAATACCACTACCTTAGTGTTTCACATCTCAAGTGTCATCTATTATAGGCCTCATTACCCCAAACGTTAAATGCTGTATCATCTCATTTTCCTTGCTGTAGCTCCCTGCCAAGACTCTTCCATCAGAGAAGGAGGGTGGCTTTCTGTCAGAAATGGCAAACCCTACCCCCTTTTGTCACTTCCCTTTGAATTTTTCCGTGCCCTGCTGTGTCTCCCAGGGCTCCAGCTGCCCTGCTGGGTTTAGCAATGGTGGCAGCAGGCAGCTGAGATTGTTCATTTGATCTCCCCGTTTCTCTCCCAGATTTCTGGAAGGTGACCAGGCTGACTACCTCCTCTGCATTTTGAATTTACACAGACACAGGGAATGGAGCAGGCAAACCGGTATTTTTTCTGGAGTGATCTGTGCTAGAGCAAAACGTTACAGAAACAGAAGAGTTTTTCTTTTCTTTCAACTTCTCTGTCCCCGGAGAAATGGGTTCCAGTTTAGCTCCTTGTGCATTACAAGAAATGCAGTTAAGCAGCCTCTGTCACTGCCATCATAAGCACTCCCTAGACATCAACTAGGCTGGCTAAGGAACGGGTATTAGATAGCATCCTCAGTTCGTACGTGCAGAGGAAAAGACAGAAATGGCACAACGATTATAAGGTTACCAGTGCTGCCGGAGGGAGTGGAGAAGCTGTTTTCCCCCCTCTTTTCCCCACGCCATGCCATGTCCAAGGCCCCTCTCTCTGGTCTGTGCTTCAACGCTGGGCATGTGGCCTGTAAGGTACCAAGTCATCTCCCACAGACTTTCTTTCCCAAATATCCCCTGTATCCAAAGGAGGTGTTTGTGTGTAACGCCCTGGGGATCCGCGCTGCCGGGAGGGCACATGGATACGTAACTGCCAGGCATGACACCTTCGTGCCCCTGTTTTCCCGCTGCAGTCATCTTGAGCTGCAGGGCAGCCGTGTAGGCGTTCGGTCAATCTGCTTCATGCCTTGTGTCGCCTCAGGAAAAGCCTCCAACCCAGGAGAAGCCGATAGAGATTTCCTCTTCTGCTTCCTCTCCCCATCATGCATTTTGGATGTTGTTTGTTTGCTTTTCCCAAGCAGGGGATGACTTAAGCCCGGTGGGAGAGAACTGCATCTTCGCATGCTTCCAATAATAATATTTCTAGCACTCTGGCTGGCATGAACAGGCCAGTTAAACTCAGATCAGCCACAAATCATGAGCTTTGGACATAGACAAGTCAGGAAAGTGTTTTCCTTTGTTGCCCCGGATGATCTGTTTCATGAAGGCAGCAGACATTTTGGGGAAGAACTGGTCTACTTGGACTGGGGATTGTCCTTCCCAGAAATGCTGGTTTTCACTTCCCACACCTCGAGGCCAGATCTCACTTCAGTTTCCTTTCTGATGTCTCAAGTAATGTTTTTATGTTTTCTTCCTTTTCTATTTATCTTTAAATAAATGAGGGAGTGCAGTGTCAAACATGGACACGAACCAGCAGAAGTCAGTAAATGCAAAGTGAAGGGTGCAGCTGCGTTGCCGGCGTCTGCCATGGGGCCTTCGGTTCGCTTCTGCTCGCGAGCGACGTGCCGAGGCTGACGGTTTGTCAGCCTTCACTTCCCATTCTTGTCCTTTCTCTGGTTTGCATGATAATCCAGCCCTTTGCCTCTGACAAATACATCCACATTTTAATTTTGTCCTCTAGAGGAGGAGCACTCCCCGCGTTCAGCCGGTCCTTAACTCTCAGCTGCTTCTCCCCTCACAAACCTCCTAATGTGTGATGAGGAGAAAGCTTTTCTTGGTGGTTTCTATAAGTTAATATCCAGTTGATATCCCAACCACGGCATGTGCATCTTTCCTCCCTAAACTGAGTGAAAAATACTGTGTACAGTGTACGAACGATTTTCTACCGAACTTAAAGGCCAATCTTTGCTATCATGAGTGACCTTCTAATGAATTCTCTTTCAGCTGAACTTCTAACGTTTAGAGCAAACCTAGTTTTGAGGGATGGGGAAGAGGTGCAGTGAAGGAATTCATAAATGTGTGTTCAATATTTAATCCCAAAGTTCACCGCTGAAATAAAACGCTTTTTGAGTTTGGATATATCTGATTGCAATCTCTGTCTACAAAGAGGGGCCTGAATATTCCAGGTGGAGAGAAGATAAATTAATTAAAATTAAAATTAAAAAAACTGAAATTAAAAACCTTGTTGGCCAGGGCTTGGGAAGGCACAGACTATACTGTGCATAGCATTTGCTTGGAGTCAGCAGTGGGGCAGACATAAGGATGTCCTCCTTTCCAGGCTGGCACCCTGCAGATTTCTGACCACTGTAGCTGCATCAGCACCTCTCTGGGATCCCAAGAATCACACACTGGGTTGCATCTTGGCCAAGCCCTGTTTCCTACCCCAGAAAAATAGTTTGGACAGAGATTCTTTCAATGAATCAAAGGGGGATGGGCCAGAGAAGATATGACCACCAGCCAGAGCATCTCCGAGTCCCTATGAGACAGGAATCCCTCCAAAGAAACATCCACCAGCAACCTTTGCTGCCCCACACCATCGCCACCATAGCCTAGGGGACAGAGTTATGGAAACACAATGTTGACTTCTCAAGGGTTTAATTTTCTCAACTTATTGCAAGCTTTACAGAATGGTTCAATTTTTCCTTCTTGTTCCGTCAGATGTTCTGCACTGTGCACCTTGATAGGTTTGAGAAAATTAGTGAGAAAGTGCGTGTGTGAACAGTTGTGCTTGCTGCAATGAGTGTTGAACATCCATTTTTATTGCTGCCTTTTCTTCTCCCATTTAAGTGGCTTTCAACACAAGCAAATCGCTTTTCAGACAATTCACAATGGGCTCAAATTCTCTTATTGCTGTTTACAAATGTGTTTATGAAAGCTCAGGCAATTCTAGCAATTATGGCAATATTTTATAGTCTGAGATGCATCTTCCTAGTATTGGTGGTTGCAACAATCTAACTTTGAAAATGCATCTCTCCCTCCACCCTCTTCAGAGAAACTAAACCCCAAGCTCCTTTTTTTATTACATTGTAAGTTTATGTGGTAGAAATAATCTCGCCTTCTATTGCCCTGTAAAAGGGAAGTCAATATTTTATCTCTTGTTTTATAGCCATTGTAATATCCAACTAATACATAACAATGGTACATTATGATAACTTCATTATACTCTGATCATGCTGGTGAATAATGTATTGGTCTGAATTTTAAGCATGACAGAAAAATTACCTATTTTTATTGTTCTTCGGTATTTCTCAAATGTAGCTGGAACAATACATTTCAGCCTGCTTTTTGCATCCGCTGGGACTGCCAATCCTCATGATCAGAAAAGATGTAGTTTGGGGGTTGTTAGTCATTGTGTGTGTTGCTAGACGTGCAGCACAGTACAAATTACTGAGCCAATATTTACTGATGCCAAAGTTAAAACATTCACACGGCAATGCACCTGCAGTGTTAATCAATCCATCTTTGCTGCTATTCCCTGTTGCACAGAAGTAGGCTAAGGGCCAAATTTTGTTCTGTTACACCAGCACCGTGCTGGAATCACTGCGGTGACTTCAGTTGCTTTACAGTCAGGTAAATGCAAAGCAAATGAGGACAGATTCCAGCCTCACTTTGCCGCAGCAGAACGAGGCGCTGAGGGTAGTACTGCTGGCTCCTGCTTTATTGTTACCTTGATAACACCTCAAGCTGCAGAAGTCATGCTGATGCTCAAATCTCGCCGTGCAGAGGGCTTTCTTTCAAAGCAGGGAGCTCCTGCGCTGGAGTCATGTCTATGCACAGGTTATCATCATATTCCCATTGCTGTGGGACACGCAGAGAAAAATAGACATTGCCCGAGCAGCTTTGATAGCTAAAAGTTGAAGCCCAGTGGGATACTTATGAGGTCAGATCCGTAAGAGCTGCGCTGGCTTAGGCTGGCTGAGAGTTTGGCTCCGTGCGTAGACGGTTAACTCCATTTTGCTGGGCACCAATTGGTACTGAAAAGCAGTCCATTTAATGTTTAATCCGCGCACTCAAAATTATTGACTGACATTTTTAATTATAGTTGGTTTTGTTCTTACTGGTAACAGCATCCATCTTCTTGAAAGTTCTTTCCATTGTAGGCTAGTGAATATAAGATTATGGGTTAGATCAGGGACCAAACCGGTGCCTGGTCAGGATGCACATCAGGATCAATGTCAGTACAGCTGCTGAGAACCGAGATTACCCTCCTGAAATGCTCTCATCAGAATGGCGTTGTGTGTCTAGCAACTTTGAGAGGTTTATAATAGAAACAAGAACTCATTCCTGTTTAAAAATGCATGCCACGCAAGCGCAGTGCCTGCTGTCTCGCTCTGTGGGCTGTGTCACGCTGCGGGCCAGCGCATGCGAAGGACACATCGCTATTGATATTGTGATCAAGCAGCACTCCAGTGACACCAGTCCACCAGGCACCAGTTCGTGCAAGGCCACCGTACTTCCTGCCAAGACCCAAATCTTAGTTTGCAAAGCCTGGCCTGCACACTTGGATGGTGAAGTCAGCCTTGCGATGGAAAAAACAGGCAAAACACATGCGATTAGAACTCATTAACGTAGCAGGTTGTTTTGGGGTTACTTGCTCTGTCAGATGATGGACATGCCGATGTGGTGACCTTCTGATTAGGAGGGACCCAGATGGCTGGCAGCTGTTCCAGCCACCTCAGGTCACCGTGGGTGCTGCTGCACCTTTTAGAGGAGACCTCTTCCATCTGGGCTGTTGTAAGACCCCCATTGTGAATAAATGACCCTGTTACAGATGGGGTCTTGCAGGGCATTCTGACATTCGTGCGTGTCACTGAGCAGCCTTCAGGTAAGCACCTCCACTGTCTGTGGTTGCAACACACAATTAATGACAATATTTTCAGAGGGAAGCGCCAAGTCACACAGTTCATGCCATTTCTCTCCTTGCTGCTTTCCTAGATGAAGGACTGTGGGACATGTTTGTGAAGGACATCCCTCGCAGTGCTACCTCCTACACTGTCAGCCTGGACAAACTCAAACAGGGTGTGACCTATGAATTTCGAGTGGTGGCTGTCAATGAATTTGGCTATGGAGAACCAAGTGTTCCCTCTGTGGCAGTATCAGGTAATCATGGATTTGTTTTTAATATCCTTTCCAATGGAATTTCTTGAGGTTGGGAGGGAGGAAGAGGGGATAAAAACCCAACCCAGATTCTCTAGTTGCAACAAATAGTCAAAGGCAGCTTGGTTTACTTGTAGGATAAAACCAGAACAATATAATGGTGAATGAAGGCTTGTTATTACAGTATGCTTTACTCTCAAGAGGAAAAATGTGTGTGTAGCATTTTTAAGTTTGACAAAGAACCTTCTCAGGAATTTCATGAGTGTTTATACAAAAGATCTCTTGCCCTAAGACTAATTTACACAGTCTACAGTTCGTTTGCCTTTTCTCCTCTCCTAGTCTGTTGTTTTGTTTATTCTTCTTCCTTCTTTTTATTCCCAGGGTTCTCAGATAAACATTTTCTGTGCTATTTTGTATTTTGCTCTCAACAATATAAAAGTGTACTTTCACAAAATTGTTCCTGATATCCTCAGCGCTGGCTGTTCCAGTACGGTGTGATGCTTCCAGTCCTCCTTCATCCAAACAGCTCATTGGTGATGCTCTGGGGCTCCTCCCACCCTCTTTGCTCTTATTTTTGCTCCCAGTAAACAGGGCAATGGCCTAAACATGCTTCTAAAATCCCTTTGAGCAACCCAGCACTCTGGTTTTCTGAAGGAACTTCAATACCTGGAAAAGCAAATTTTGCTTACCTTGCCACCTCTGGGCAGCTCGAGTTCAATGGCCTGTTGTGAAGTAGGAGAGCTTGCCCTCATGAAAGCTTTGCTCAGGTCTCCTCTTACCCTTGCAGAGACAGCTGTACTCCAAGTTGCTCATGAGCAATAGGTTTCATCCTTGCTGTGTCAGCAAAGACCGACAAGAGGAATAAAAGAACCTGATAAAGCAGCTTTGTGATTCAAAATTCTGGAGAGTCCTGAGAACCTGGCAAAGCTCCAGTATCTGGAGTGGCTTTTATCTCTTTGCTCCTCCAGTGAAAAGCATAAACACCATTCAACAGTTACCCAGCAGGCAAGAGTAGTAAATGCTGCTATCGCCATCGCGGCTGCGTTTGTCCTTACACAATTAACCACTTAGCCTGTGAGAGCTGTCTATGGATTTCAGTGTGAGTGCTACCCTTGCTTTTCTCCTTCAGGACAAGGGCATAGACAACCCACTTCAAACACCGAGTCAGTGTTTTTCCTATCTGTGGTTTCACAGAGGCTTTAACACAATGTAAAGGGTCAGTAATCATGTCAATCTTTCCTTTCCTGGAAGACATTATTCCTCTGAAGCTGGGCATGCAGCTCCTTGTGAGGCTTTTTATAAATAAACCACTTGTTTGTAAGTTCTCCACTTGAACAGAACTATTTAATTCACCTCCTTTTGATGCTTCACTGTTCATCTCAAATTGCTGCATGAAAGTAAGAGGTTTCCATTGAGATTCACAGTCGTAAAAGTATAAAGCATTTTAGGCTGGCCACTTCAGCTAGCACAGGGAGGTATAAATGGCACTGAATCTGCTCAGCCCAGCATGGCTTGTACAGTTTGCCTTTAGGACTTTATTGGCCTGGCCTGGCCTCCTAGCAAAGAGAGATCGTGGCTGCTTTTCAGTGCTGCAGAATACTCGGTGATCTGGAACAAATTTGAGCTCATATCAGGCTTACAACAGACTTGTCTTTAGATCCAGGGCTCGGGACAGTTGGGGAAAGAGAGTGCCAGGGTTCAGGGATAGTGAGGGGCTTGGTTGAAGTTGCTCTCCTGGCATCGCCCCTTCCTACCAGGTGTTCTTCTACTTTAGGGACTACAGGGAAATTATATACAACTGCTGGCTTGTGCTCCAGTGGCAGCATTTTTTCACAAAGCTGAGGGATGCTGACAAAGAGAATATCACCGCTAGAAAATAACAATACTTATTACTTTAAACCAAGACTGGCAAGATGACTCTAGAAAGGGGAAGTTAGTATCATTTTGCGTCTCCAATTGAGGTCAAATGGGGTGAAATTACTTGAGACCGCACAAAATCCAGGGAGCTGAATTGATACCAGTGTGCTGCACATCAGGCTTGGCTAAGCTGATGGGGAGATGATATAGAGTAGCAGCCAATGTTGGAAGTTAGAGTTAATAGAGGTACTGAAAGACACTGAACCAAGTGTGCTTTATTCCCTGGCACTAGCTGTATTTTTCAAAGAGCCACTGAGCAGCATTATGGTGCGGCAAGCCGCTTAAAAAGTGGAATAGTCATGGGTCACAACAGATATAGTAGTGGTTCCTTTGACCCAGGGGGTACTAAGCATACTGCAGCAGTCAAGAAATGTAGGTGTGCGGAGCTGTGGGAAGAAACCTCCCTCCCTTCGCTTGGTGATAACATCTTCTTAGCTCAGGGATTCTGGAGCGCTGCTCAGGGTGTGTGAAATGCAGAGATGTTGGAGCTGTGATATGCTCCTGTTCTATTTGCCATCTTAGAAGTGTCAGCAGGCCCTTTGAAAGTCTGACTGCAGAGTAGGCTGTGTTACCTCCTTTGAACACCTCTCTCTCCTGAACACTATTATAAATGCGTCATTCACTGTGGGGAAGAAGAGAAAAAATTGAAGGAGCATAAAGAGGAGTTATTTGGCTTTTTTTGCTCTTTCAGCACAAACAGAAGCCCCTTTCTATGAGGAGTGGTGGTTTCTGCTGGTGATGGCTCTCTCAAGTCTGATCCTCATCCTCCTGGTGGTGTTTGCATTGATCCTGCATGGCCAGAGCAAGAAGTACAAGAACTGCAGTACAGGTGAGACATTGGCTCTGTGCTGTGCACACACTCTCAAGAGCTGTGGGAACCAGAAATGTCTTCCTTTATAACCCCTGATTTCATCAGCGTGGACTCTCTTTATCAATACTTTGTTTGGCAGAAGACTCAGGTCTTTTTAGTGTCTGGTGCGATGGAAATGGCTTTTGCCCATAGCCATACTGGGCAAAGAGTGCCTGATCTTATCAGGTTTTGGATGCTAACCAGCTGTGGGCTTGGATAGGACTGCATCTGGAAGTCCCAGGGACTGTAGCAACAGCCAAGGAGTCTGGGTCAAATGCTTGGCAGAAGACCACAAAAAAAGGAATAAGCTGAGACTTCGTTTAGCTTCGTATTAGCTTCCCCTGATAGATGGTGAGAAGGAGAAAGATTCTGCTTTTCTATGGCTGTTCCCAATGCAAATATTCCAGGTCTGTATGTGTGAGGACTTTATCACAATTCCTCTATATTAAATAGAGTGCCCTGCATCTCATATTCATTCCCTAAGCCAAGATGCAGTTGCTTGGCTGGGGGCCATACAGCTAGGAGCTATCTTGATTGTCTGGACCTGTTAGACTTTAAGGCATAATGAGCATCAAGCTTTGAATTTTCCTTTAGTCATGATTTTTATCAGTCTGCTTTCTGAAAGGAAACAGGAGCTACCTGCTCTATAACTGGGAATGTTAAAATAGTCCCCTTTCAAAACACCCAGTTCTTGAGCTCTGAATATTGTTTTTACTTTTTCTTCTCCTTGCATGATAAAGTCCTGGAAGGGTTGTTCACATGTGTATATCTCTGATACCTTCATTCACCTCCAGCAAGAAATTGCTCTGATGCCAGGAGGTGCCAAAAAAGGCACATTAGTGAGTAGGATCAGGTGGATGGATCTTTGTGCTACCCGTTCTTAGGGATTAATGTAATGAGGGAGTCTTCCAGGCAGTATTTAGTAATTCAGCCCCAAAGTGAAGATCTTTTCTTTCTTTATAATTCACTTCTAACAAGTGTTAGAAAATCAGATTTCAGTCCCATGAGATATAAGATGTATGAATACTGTGGCATTTTACCAAGTTAATACTGTTACATATTTGTATGCATAGCTCATAGGACATCTCTCATCTTCCTAGTTTTGCACTGTGTTTGGGGGACAGGCACGAAAAGACAGGCCTGACCTGTACTGTCAGATATCAGTGTTCACACTGAGTTTTAATGTGGCACTGAAATTGAAGCTGAGGATAAAGTACCTGTCTGCTGCACAGTGGCAATATGCAACCGGCCCTTCTCCCTGGGACACGAGCTGAGCTCGCACCTTTGGGATTACAAAGAATGAGCATGGGAGAGAATAAGCTCTTGCTGTAGTTGATCACAAGAAATAATATACTTTGCTGTATTTTCCCTCTTCTTCCAGTCCCCTGTCCTTTTCCTTGCCTCACGTTGTCCAGTGATGTCTTACATCTATATCTCATCCTCATTACAGCTCTGACATCTTTTTCCCATTTGCTATCTGCTTAGCCTTTCTGTTGCTTTCTTTCTTGCCTTTTTTTTTTCCTCCTTTTCCTCCCTTTGCTGGTTTTACTTTCTCTTGCTTTGCTTCAGTCAGCATGAATGGGATTCACAGCACCTGATTTAGGACATCTTCAGTGGGCACCTGAATTAGTCACCTGGTTTCTATGTATAGTAAAAAGACAAGAATAAGCACTTTCAGAGCACAGTTCATCTGTGCTATTTTAGATACTTACCTCCAAATGAAATGCATCCATCTATGACTTCTTTCCCCTCTTCTTGCTCCTTCTGCCTGTTCACACTCCTGATAAGCTCCTCTCCTTTGCTCTGATTGTTCTCGTTTGCCAATAAGAAAGGCAAAGAGATTTTCAAATAATTAATGGTGTTATAAAACACAAAGAAGGAAAAGTTAGCTCGTACAGTTGTATTTGGGGGAAAAGTGCCTTTGTTTCAGCTGAGTCTTTCGTTGCCTGGCTCCAGGTAAAACCATCTCCAATGTGGAAGAGTCGGTCACCCTGGATAATGGAGGCTTCACTGCACTGGAGCTCAACAGCAGACACCTGAACATCAAAAGCACCTTCTCAAAGAAGAATGGAACCAGGTAAGAAGCTGGGAACACTATGCTGTCGGAAATGGCTTTTTATCTAGCTTTAAGCAACTATCAAATAGGCAAAGGGGAGGGACTGTTGTCTGGACGACTTAGGGAGGAATTTAATGCCCAAGTCACTGCCCCTGGCTGTGATTCTGGCTTCTAAGCAAGATTTAATTGTGTCTTTAATTGTGTTATTTCAAAGAAGTGACAGCATGCCGTACACTCATCCTCTGTTTCCTAGGTCTCCTCCTCGCCCAAGCCCAGGAGGGCTGCACTACTCTGATGAGGATATCTGCAACAAATACAACGGAGCCGTGCTCACCGAGAGCTTGGGCCTGAATGAGAAGCCCTTAGAAGTGTCGGAGTCGGAGGTGAGGGTCTCCCTTTGCCTTGCCAAGTGTTGCTCAGTCACTGCAGACATCCGTTTCCCTGAGGAACCCTGGCAAGTTTCGAAGTTCCAGTCCCGCACCCGCATTGTACTGTGGTGGTGTTGTTTTCTGTTTTGGGAGACTTTAAAATGTCCATTTCACCAGGCTGTTCGTGTCACATCTTACAGTTAAGATGTCAAAGGAAGAAATGACAAGCAGGACCTAGCCAGGGCTGATTCCAGACCTGGCCTTGGCAGATGTTCACAGTTTTCCAGTGTTACACAGAAGGGCAAGTGCAATCAGTCACCCTGTGTGTGCTCACCTCTCTGGAAGGGGCTGTACATCCCCTTCTGCCTGGGGTCTGCAAACTTGGAGCACTTTTGGGAAAATGTATATGTGCTGCAAAATAACCAGCTGGCTGTGGCTACTGTCTGGATGAGGTTGCAGGTGGGAGACACTTTGGATTGTTGCACTGACTGAGGTATGGGATGTGGTTTGAAGTTTTCACAGTGCCTTTTTTAGACAGCTGCAGCAAATACCCAGGTTCAGAAGAGTGGTCTTGCGTGGTGATAACCGCCACCTCTGTTACAGAGGGAGTAAGTGGGGCACGAGTAACCTGCCAGGGAGCACATGGCAGTGGCGGTGAGAGCCCAGCATTCAGGTTTCTGAACACTCCAGCCCACAGCCCTAGTCTAACTCAAGAGGAGCTTTCTGCTCGGGTTGCCTTTAGACTCTGTTCTCCAAGGAAGGTGGGTGTATGCTGGCGTTATCCATCTGGCAGTGCTCCATCTTGTGTCTTGTCTCCCCTTTAAGAAGTAAGAACGTGCTTGTGGTCTGTAAAAGCCAAGCAGTGGCCAGGGGTGAACAGACAGACTTCAAGGGATATCCAGAAAGGTAAATCTGTCTCTAAAATCGTACGTTGTCAGCCGAGATCCTGACGAATCTGAACTGACAGCGCAAGAAGCGAGCAGTGGGCCAAAGCTCTCCAAACCTGACCCTTCCAGCAAGAATAAATCAAGAGCAGCAAGTAGTGAAAGATGATGACAGTTTTCATCTGTAGCTTTTCTGCACCTGCAGCTACAGCTGCTTCTCCTGGCTACCTAGCTCTCACCTCCTGTTAATTACCACGGACAGCCTGCTGCTTTGTGCTGCCCTGTGGCCGACCCGCCGTGCAGGCAGCTTTCCTTGGTGCAGCTCAAGCTGCTGCCTATGCAACGCACGAGCATTACCCTCCAGATTAAACCCATAGCGCTTTGGTCATGTCGCTGTAACAACCCAGCATTAAACCTGTCATTAAAACAGTTTGCTGGGCATGATCATGAATTTAGCGCCGGCACCTTTTGACATTAATTTCAATGCCCCACGTGGCATTTCCTGGGAACACACAAAAGGCTACTTGCAGGGTGTCATTACTGCCTTCCGTATTCACTGTTTGTACAAAATAGAAGAAAGTGATTTTTGGTGGGTTTTTTTTTTCCTCAGACTACTATTAATATTATTTATTTACTGTGTATTGCAGTCGAGCCTGAAGGTCTCAATTGAGATTCTAGTGTTTTTGTGAATCTGTGTGTGCATGTGAGTATGTGAACAAAATATGCCTCCTCTTTTTCCTTGGGGCTTAGATATGCAGCCCTTCTGTATAATGTCTTTGATGCTTGTTTTTTTCTGTGGTGGGGAGTGCTTTTAGGCATGAAATGTTAATATGCTCCCAGTAGAGGTAGCAATAGGAGATGCTGCCTTTTGATCAGCCTGAAAATGCTGTTTACGTTGGCTGGTACAGACAGGAGGTGAGGGTGTGTTAGGGCAGAGGTGGGTATAGATGTTTGACCACTCTCTTTTCAAGTATTACTGTACCTATTAGCTTTTCCTGTTTTTCTTTGCTGTGCTTTTTGTTTCTGTTCTCAAAGGAGGTCTTAACAGACGAGCTCTGTTTTCCAGGAAATTTAGAATTTTAATCTCTCTTAGCAGGCGGAAATGTTTCCCGTTATATGAAGAGTTAAAGATACCTTTTTGTATAAGAGCTCTACACAGGTTTAGTCCTCTTCAGCAAAGAGGGTCCTGATGCTCTTTTCCTCTAATACATCTTTGCATGGATCTCACATTCCACTTAATACGATGCACATAAGGACGGGCAGGGCCAAAAACTGTGCTTTTGCTTTCAACTCGCATGTCATCTTGTCGCTGCTTAGTCTTACCCCTGTTGCCTGAGGTGTCAAGATTTTATTTGGAAAAGAAGGAAGCTGGCTGGCTTCAAGTCTCGTGGGGTTTACTGAACATGAAGAAGTCTGCGAGAAACTCTCGGGCTGACTGACTGCACTTACAACACGGCTGCCTGGGAGCCTTCCTCCGAGCTCCCTCCTGATGAGGAGAGCAAGAGAGAAACAAAGAAAATCTAGCAGACCACGCAGGACTCTTAATATTCGTAAATCAAGTGGTTAACTTACTCTATGTCATGAAAGCCAAGCACCAGTACTGTTAATGAGGTTAAAGTAGTTTAATTGGCAGGTATGGAGCAAGAGAGTGCTAAGAGCGTAATTTCTCAATGATTAATAATAATAGGCTTTTAGATAATGAGTCAAATGGACGAGGCTCTGGGCAGATAATCTGAAGAAATTTGGTGTTCATCATGATTCTATGATTCCATGTATAGAAATTTGATGATAGATCTGCGATGTCATCCAGCCAGGGAAGAGCAGTTTTACAGGAGGGGAGGGGAAAGTGCTATGTGTGTGTTTGTTCTCACATGCCCTTGTGGTCTCCCAAAAACTGTTTTCAGGAGAGAATATTCTCAGAGATTGTGCAGGTTATCAGTCAGTGCTGAATGCTGGTGATGCTCTGGTCTTCCCCACTGCTCTCTGCGGTCTGACTGACTTCTGCTTTCTCAGCTCTGTAGGAAGATATTATAAATTTCCACTTAACACTTAATAGGGAATATGATTTATCTTGTTTCCACTAATGTTCTCCAGTGATTTCGACAAGTTGGGCACCATGTGGAAACCAGCCACAGGTGACACATTAAATAAGCAAGGGTTCCCATGTCCAGAGAAATCCTTTTGCATGCCAGGTTACCTTGTCTCTTTCTCAGCGTATTCATTTCATGTCAACCAAAAGAAAGTGCTGCCATCTACATTTTTAGAAATAATCTCATAAGGTTGTTTCTTATGCAGTCACTTAAAGAAAAAAAGATAATTAGAACTATTTTCAAATTTCCCATTGACTAAGCTAGCCAACTCTGTCACTGACTTGCCTCTGAACAGCACTTGTGCGTTTTGTGCTATCAATAAAATACTTCAATAGCCTCTCATTTTCTGTATTTGTTGTTTCACAGGCATCCATGCACCTTTGGTTGACAGTCTGTAATGTCACCGCACACCCAGTCACACCCCAGCCTATGGTGGTTTCCACGGTAACAAAGCCACAGTCGCAAGGAAGGGAGAAAACTGAAAACAAAGCAGAAAGCCCTGCAGCATTTCTATTTACTCAGTAGTTTAAAAACCACTAAAAAGTAATCCTCTAGTATAAGCTGTCTGTATTGTGATGCAAAACAGGTTTCTCTTGCTACTCCTTGATTTTCATCAGGGCAGAGAGAGATGCAGACAGCAATTTAGAGAATTTCTTGCTGGTAAAGGTGGTTATTTGTACCTTGTTCGGAGCAGAACTTGGAAGATACTTTAGAAACATGGATGGAATAGTGAGCTCCTGCTTCTTCTGAAGGAAACACAAAGAAAACAATTCGTATCGACACTGACAAGTAGGTTGTCCTTTCCAGCTCCAGCATCAGTGCTGATGATGGTGAAAGGCTGAAGTAGTGCAGCTATATACGTTTCATGAAAGTTGCTTCTGAAAAGCACTGGCCTTATTTACACCAAATTAGTGTTCTCTTTCAGTTGATATAATGAACTAATTAGTGGACAGATAATTAGCAGGTGGTGTTGTTTTAAATTCCCTCTCTGTTCATGGCAAATCCAAGTGAGGCTGTATTTCAAATGGCAGCAGCCCATCTAAAAGCGTTCCCAGTATTTCTCCTATTTATTTTGTTAACTTCTGGCAGTATTGGAGGAATTTGGCTTAGGTACAGAAATTTTATTAGTTTTGTGGGTGAGTATTTTTCTGCTAGCAATGGACAGAAACCAAGTGGCTGCATCAGTATTACTATACCTATCAAGTCATGTGTTGGTCTTCTGGATACAGCTTCTTCGCAGCATTTCTTAAAGCTTCCAGCCTTTTAGTTGTCGTTCTGTTTCTATATGTTTGTGAGGACGTCAGAAAGACCAGTAAGGAGCCACTAGAAGCTTGTGGGGGTTTTTTTCTCCTTATGCTTATGATACCTCAACTCAGCTGTGATCCATTTTCAGCAGGGGCTTGTTTCTTTGGGGAGTGACTGAGCGTGTCTGAGTCAGTAAGAGTGACAGTGAATTGGGGAAGGAGTCAGAAAACATGGCAAGGGCAGTGGTAGAGTTGTGCCTTTGATGGAGGGAGGACATCCATGATAGCTAGAAGGAGATCACACCTTCAGGTGCTGCTTCTGATGAGTGATCCATAACCACCTGCCTCTGCTCAGGATGTAGAGACTTTTCTTCTGGATGCCCACATCATCCCTTAGCTTCCCAGACACTTTTTACCATAACAGTAGACCATGGAGCTACAGCAGAATGTTTGAAGATGTAGGCTGATGCAAAGAGCAACACCTTCATTCTTGATAAGAACAAAGGAAACCTGGGTTTGGGGATCTTTTGATCTGCAGGTCAAGTTGGTTACTTCTGCAGCTGAGAACCAGCCTGCCTGAGCTCTTGCTGCCTGTTGCCATGCCCTGCCCATCTGCAGTCATCAGAGGCACTCTTCTTGGAGCCCCTTACAAAATTAGACAGGGCAGTGCTGGCAGGATGTTCCCTGCACCGGAGCCAAGACTCTGGAGCTGCTCTCTGCACCCACTGGCTGCGAAGTGGTCCAAGTCTGGGGATATTCCAGGTGTGCCGCAAAACACGCCTGTTCAGAGGGGTCTTTGGAGGCAGTCGGGTGTTGGCTTCCCGAGGCTGGCAGCTGGTGCAAAGGAACGTTTTTCTAGGAGATAGACTTGCTGAGTTTCTTCTGGAATAATTATTAAATGCTAGTAGGGTTTTGTTGTAACATTAATTACGTAATATTAATTACCTAAAGCTTGGCATTCTTAAAATAATCAAACAATACGTAATTCTGAAAGAGCCAAACGATGGTTAACAGTGGAAGGGAAATTTTGCAAAGCTGTAAAGAGCTGCTTTGCTCAGACTCTTGGAAAACTCTGGGAAAAACATTCTCAGCCCTGTCCATCACCCTCTGCACTGGAAAATGGGCACAAAATAGTATCGAAGCAGCTATCTAAGCAAAGAAGTGGGATGATGGATGCGGTGCCCTTTCAAATGATGATTCGCAAGGCATTTGAGGGTTGTTCTTCAGAGGCCGTTAAAAAGGAGCTTTCGAGGAGGAAAGCCTGGTTGTGTGGCAGGCAGGATCAAGAGGGATGTGTGTTTGCTGTGTAGTGTCGTAGATCAGAACGGTACCAACCTTTTGAAACTAATTGCAGCAACTAACAGTTACCAGCTGTACTCACCCGTCTCTCTCTCGTATGTCTTAGGCAGCTACTGCTTTGATATTTAATTGCCTTTAGAATCAGCTATGCAGATTATCAGAAGGGGGGAAAAAAATGAATAAAAGCTTTTGCGTGCTCAAGCCAGAGGTTTTGAGAGAAGGCATGAGATATGGAAACGTCTGGGTAAATGTTTGTGTGCTGTATGTGATGTGGCTCTTATTGGTGGGAACATTAATGGGAACAGAAGGAAAATGTGCGCTTAGATACCGTGGCCAAGGCTTTGCTGTGGTCTCTGTACTCGGAGGAGATGTTCAAGCCCTCTGTGATTCCTCCAGCTGTATCACAACAGCAGCACTTCAGAGGAGGGACAGATGCACAAAGCTTATCTGGTTACATCTCAATAGAGCTCCAGCTCGATACTGGTATGAGCTTTGAAGCTGTCCAGCCACCGTGCATAAATGTTTAAAGGGGTAAGATCCACTCTGAACACAGGGCTCTGCCTGAGCCATCCCAAGAAAGCAGCCCCTCCTGCCTGGCAGTTCTTCTTTCCCAGATTTTTCATTCCTTTTCTTCTGTTGCCACTGTTTGTTTGCCTTCCTGTACCACCAATAATCAGTTGGAACATACAGATAGAGTTGTTTGCCTTAAAAAAAAAACAGATGTTTTTGCTTAATTCCCTTTCAGCGATATAACTAATTTTCAATATTTAACAGGGCTTGCAAGCCAAATCCAGAGCACTTGCAGGTGGCTTGGTCTAACCACCACGAGCAGCAGCACATCTGGCTAACTTCAGTGCGTTTGCAGGGAAGACGTTCTTCTCTCCTTGCATCAGAAGGGAGATTCTCGATTTTAACTGCAACCTTTTTGATCATGCCATTGAAAGCTGTTTGTTTCCCTGTGACATCTCTGTGCTTCCCCACATCCTGTGTCAGAACAGGAGCTCCGAGCTCCCGCTGCGGCCTTCTGCAGTGAATTAGAAGGGATTCCTCTGCATCCCTTATCGCCAGCATTCTTCGGGGAACTCTCCCTGTAGCAGCAAAGCCTGGCTGAACTGGAGCACGGTGCCCTTCTGCAGTCCAGCATGTATTGCACTCGGACTAAAATTACCTAAAATTACAGCTTTTGCCAGCTGGTCATATTAAACTTGTCTCTAATTTCTTTCAGAGTAGAACAGGCTAAATCATAGACACTAATGGCTGATTTTTTTAATTTTTTTTTTTTCCTGATGCTCCAGGCCACTGACTCGGATTATGAAGACGAGTTGCCAAAGCACTCCTTTGTGAACCATTACATGAGCGACCCCACGTACTACAACTCGTGGAAGCGGCAGCAGAAAGGGGTGAAGCACCCAGCATCCTACAGATACGAGGAGTGTGCCGCCAGCGAGGCAGAACCCTATTTCCAGACTGTCATCACGACACAGAGCTCAGGAGGGGTGTACACCCCAACGGGACAGCCCGCGCCCGGCTCCCGGACTCCAGTGACAGGGTTCTCCTCCTTCGTCTGAGACGGGGCTGGAGGATACAGGCGCACCGCCGGCGGGACTGG